CCCCCCCCCCCCCCCACTCCCACCCACCCTGCCCAGCAGCCCTGCTCACTCTCTGGGAATCAGATGGCTTTGTGGAGTCTCTGCTGGGGTCCTTTCTCTGGCTAGTTTTTTCACCTAGGCCAGGCCTTGGGGTCTGGAGCAGCCCTGCAGGGAAGGAACGTTGGAGAGGGGGTTCAGACTGGAGGGGAGGCTGGGGCAGGGCTGGGAATTGGGGACTCCACTCCAGGTTCATCAATGGAACTCCCAAGATTAGGCCAGAGAAGGCCACAGGAAAGCTAAGAGAGATTTTGATTTTCATGATTTCTTTACACTGTTGCCAGACAGAGCAATGGGATGGGGGGGGTATTTAAGCTCTTATTGTAACAGGGGGGTCCCTAGGAAAGGGGATGTTCCAGGTTTCCTGCCCCAACCAGAAGGAGGGTGGAGCTGAGCAGAGAAGAGAGAAGAGAAGGAGTCTGAGGAAGAAGGAAGCAGGATGGAGAGCCAGAAGGAGATCTGAGGAAACCACATGGAGCAGCAAGCATGTGGCCCTGCCTTCCTCAGGGCCAGGGATTGATCTCAAGTATTTGCAGTGATATCCAGAGACCCAACCCCTAGGCCATCGGGGAGGTCCCTCAAAACACCTTTTTGGCCTCAGTTTTCTCATTTGTGAATGGGGCTATTAACAGCACCTATCCCATAGAGTTGGAAGAGTTAAAGGGATATCCACATGTGTCTTGCTATAAAGCGGGTCACTTAATGATGTTTTACTGTCGCCAAGCCCGAGAAGGCAAGCTGGTGTCTTTGTCCTGGCCTGGCTACCATCATGGATGTCAGCTTCCCTCCTCCTGGTCTCCAGCGGAGTCTGTCATCATCATCGTGCCAATTCATCGTTGCAACACCTCTGACATCCACTCCTCCTGCCCATGCCTACTGCCGCTGTTTGGGGTCCTCATTACCTTGGCAGAGACTGTTACAGTGGCCTTCTAACTGGTCTCTTGTCTCTATCCTTCACAGACTTGTCAGATCAATCTTCCTAAAACACTGTTCTTGTCATGTCACTCTCCACTCCTAGCCTTTCACTGGCTCCTAGGGTTGCAAATCCAAAGGCCTCAATGCCTGGTCATCCACCAAGCATCCTTCGGACCTTCCAGGACTTCTCCCACTCCCCTTTTGTGCCCCAGTGCCTCCCTGTTCTTGCTAGGGAAGAAATGAAAGGCTAAGTGCTTTCTTCCCCTCCCCCTTCATAAGAAGGCTGCTGGATGTGTTGGGCAAGGGTCCACTTGGGAGGGCAGCAGTGGACAGGGCCCTCATAGGGGAGGAACCTGTGTCAGTGAACCTGCTTGTGGGTCCCTCCCAAGAGGCTCTCAATACTCCCAGGACTCTTTCTTGCAAGCTCTTCTGACCTTGATCCCTCCAAAGTAATCTTTTTCTCCCTTCATCTTGTCATAGGTCCCACACTCTTTCTCTGGATCCCAGAGGGAAAGGGTAACATTTTATGATGACTTCTATGAGCTAGGTATTTCACTGCTCTGTGTCTCATCTAATCTCTACCAGTTTTTGTTTTTTTTTTTTTAAGTCCCTACTTTCTCTGCAGATTCTGGCACGGAGTGGCTTACCCAGAGCAGATGCTCAGGAAGAAAGGTGTGACAAATGACACTCCTACATCTAAGGGCATCGCAGGCTGAGGACTGAGGTCAGTAGAGGGCAGGGTGCAGTGGGAAACACCTGTGTAGACAGAAAGAGGGTACAGTCATGAGTGCCCCACCCACACAAATTGAATGGTGGGTCCATTTCCTGGAGAAGACTGGGTGAGCTCCACACTGTAAGAAACAGGTGGGGGCAGAGCTGGGTGTCCTGCTTTCTCAGCCCCCCTTCACTGGAGAGGAGGCGGAACAAAAAGTACCACACAGGCTTCAGGGTGTCTCTTCCTTTCTTTTGTCCAGCCAGAGAAAGCTGAACATTTTTGGGTGGGGAAGGAGGGAGAGCTTTGGCTAACAATGATTTGGGGGCCTGGAAAAGGTCCTTGGGAGAGAAAGACCTTCCTGTAATATTAAAATGTGTATGTGGGGGTGAGGGTGGGGGGTATTTGGTGACAAAGCCCTGGAGGTATGGAGGGAGAGGGAAGAGTCACAGACAGCAGCACCCAGGTCTGGGCTCTGGCCCTAGACTGCCAGTCCCTGTGAGTCCTGAGGGCTTCGGGCTCAGGTTTGGAAAGAAGCCAAGGGACCATGTCAAATGTGAAGAACTGGTCAGACCCTGAGGAATAGCAAAGAGGGGAGCAGAAGGGGGTCCCGTCTCTCCAGTCTCCAACAAGCCCACTTAGCCCTCCACCGATGGACTAGAGCCACACCCGCACCTCCAGCCGACGCCCCAATATGTGGGGGTGTGTGGGGGAGGGCCGAAGTGGGGGAAGGAAGCAGCCCGCAACCCCCCCATGGGCCAAAAGAGCGAGGCTTTAGGAGGGGACCCGCGTTGTGTCCTTGCAAGCCTAGAGAAGCCGCGTTCCCGCCTAAATCTGCAAGATGGAAGTTGCTCCCTCTAGCTTTCCCACTGCCGAAGGAGGCTGCTGCTGTGAGTGACCCCTCCCTTCGCGCCCAAGTGGATTTTTAGCATTTACTCTTTTCCAGAGTCTTGTTCATGTCAAAATGCAGCTTAAAAGGCACCACAAAATCCACTGCGGATCGAGCCAACACCCGGTTTTGGCTGGCGCAGAAAGTTTACTAGGCGGGTGTACCCCACCCCAGTAACACAGGGTACTAGGTGCTGCCTGCAGGCATGCGTGTGCGGGAGCCGAGGGATACCAGGCAGCGAGGATGTGTCAGCGGGAGCGTGAAACTGGGGCCCCCTGCGCGTGGGAGTGTATCTCGCGTGTCCACAGCCCCGCTGCTTCACTTGCTGTTGCGGGAACGTGTCAGCAACCTCACCTCTGCTTCAGCCTTTCCCAGCCAGACGCTCCCTTTTTGGTGCTTCTGGGCGTTTATTGTAAATTCCGTGACTAAAACACGCCAGTGAGCTCGGCCCATCGACAGATGGATCGATCGCCCCCTTCCCGGCTGGGGGAGGGGGGCCCCACCCACAGCCTGGGAAGCCAGGAGCTGCAGGCTGCCTGGAGAGAGCTTTCTGGAGCGGGGCCGCAGCCGAGCCAGGGGTGGAGACAGGGTCGGTCGTGGGGCGCCCTCACCAGGGTGGGGTGCGAGGCCCTGCCGGCTCCCTCCCGCGCTGTTCGACCAGGTTCCAGGGGCCTCGGCCAGGACGCTCTAGTACCACAGCCTTCTTCTTGCGCCGGGCAAGGGAGACCAGTGAGGGAGTCAGGAAGGGTTGCGAGGCCGGGGCGTGCAGGGAAAGTTCTAGAGCTCCGCGTGGAGAGCACAAGTGTCTGCGTGCGCGGGTGTAGATCCCGGCCGGCAGGCTGCGCGTGGATGCTGGGGAGCAGGCGCGGAAGCGGGGGGCCTTCTGATCTCCTGCGCCTCCGGGAAAGGCGCTCTTGACCGACGCCCGGTCTACAGACGCAGCCCTCCGCGAAGGGGGTGGTCCCCTCCCCAGACCACCCAGCCACGGATTTGCTAGCGCCCTCCCCCCCGCGCCCCCGCGGTGGCTGGGACGCCGGGGACTCC